TCTGTAGAGATTTGGTAGGAAAATGTTTCTGGTTTAGTTTAAGAATGTAAGAATGTAGGATGACCTGAAGAAATAAATAATAAAGGATTTATATGAAGAATTTAAAAGTATGCTTATTGATTCTAAAGAATCCCTAACAGTGAGTGTCAGTCCTTACATAGAATGCATTAAATTTTAACAAAGTGCATGATTTACAATAAGGAGTTGAAACTCTCTAAACAATTTTATTGAGACAAAATTTCAACACATTCTTGTTACAAATTGTAACAATGAATAAGTTCAGCTGCAATTGAAGAATATTGGATAAATGATTCCCTACATGAGATTAGAACATTTGTATAAGGAATGTTCAAATATGTACAGTCTTCAGTTTTATAATTTTATTTCTCCAATTATATTTCGGTTTTTCGACAGTTATCATTGGTTTCATCTGAAGAGGCTAAATTACTTCTATTTTTTTGAAAAAAAACTATTTTGAAAATGTGAAGGAGTCCCAGAGACTTTTTTTTTCTTCTGTTTTCTTCATAATTAAAATCTAAAGAAATTTTTGAGAACTTTCAGAAAAGCAAAGGGCAGTTATTAGCGTTTCGGCAGAACTTGATGAAGTATTACTTGCAAATAAAATGTGCTACGTTTAGTTCCATGTTTGGATCGTCTAATTATGATCTCCTACCAAATGAGGGTGACGTTAAGTTTTATGAATTCTCAAGTTCGGAAATAATATTTGTACGAATAAAAAATTCTATCAGCATGATAAATAAGCTCTTGTATTCGCATGAAATGAATAAAAATAGCTGGAACATTTCCTAGTGTAATTCTTTGCCTTATTTGCCTTATATACCAAGTCTTTAATAAATTAATTTGTTGCCAACTTACCATTTGATTGAATCTGACAGCTAACAAAAGACATTCTGTAGTTTCCATCTCCATTCTAATTGTTTCAGAGGCATCTGATTATATCAAAGAACTCGTCATGTATCTAATATTCATCCAGTCTGAAATATGCTTACTTGCCCCGCATGTCATGCGCGAGGTATTTTTTCAATCCATAAATGCTTACATAAGAATTATGTTGATGGCACTTTATTGGTAGTAAAATTTAAAAGATTTCTGATGAACTGGAAATGCTGTAGAAATTTTAGTTTCCTACATAATGATTTTGAAACTCGTACTAGCTATAACTAATATTACTTGAAATAGGCAGGTCAACTCATCGTGTTCTAGAATTTGTTTTCATAGCTTTCATATTTTTTCAATATCATTTTCTGTTCAGACATGTGAGTCTCCCAAACTTCGCCATCGGTATTAAGAGAGTAACTGTGGTAGGAAGCAACGCTCAGAAAATAATAAGTCAAGCTCGATCGATGTGCGAGTGATTCGGTGAAATCGGTCGGGCTCGACTTACCATTTTTTGTATGTTATTTCCTATGCTGAGAAGTTGAGACTGAATAATTCCCTGCAATTCTTTTTTTTTTTTTTAAATTGATTTTGTTTGAGGTGCTTGGTCCAATAATACAAAATGCATTTAACCAACTAATTGATCGTCTCGATCATTTACAAAATATGTCGTTGGAGCAAACCACACAAGTTGTTATTGATGTTACAGCGTTAGAAGAAACTGTACAAAATTTCCTGTTATTGGAAACAAGGTTTGCATTCGTTTCTTGTTAAATTTTCCGTCTTTTATTTTGAACGTATCATATAACTGACAATATTTCTATCTTTAGGGCTGTTGTGAATTCTTTTCGAGCAAAACATGTCAATAATTTGGATCAGTCGTGAGTTTCACTTGTTTAAAGTTTGTAAATTAAATAAATTTTGCAAACACATTTTGTTACTCGTACTGCTTTTCTGATTTATTATGATTTCATTTTTTGGCATTTATGCTGTACGAATTAAGGAACATTCCAATGATGTGAAAAACAGACCAACATGTAAATGTGGCTTGATACTTCATTTCAAGTAGTTAAAATCTTTATTGTATATTTCAAGAATACGACTCGCTTTTCCAGGCTTTTTAAGCGAAGTCTCCATAATTTCCGCGCTGCAATGCGAATGGCAATTGTAAGTTTGAATTACGACCACATAGACGCAAATGACTCATCTGATATATGAGTGTGGAAAAAAATTACGACTAAAGATTGTATTATAATCACTTTCATTTATTCTTTAAAACTATAAGTTATATTCTCGTAACATTATTTGCATGAGTCGATGCCTCTCGCTAAGAGAAGGGCACAAGCTGATTAAGCTAAGAGTAAAAGCGGAATCATAAAATCCAAATTATGCTCGTGTGTTGAAATGTAATTGTTTGCACTCCTGATTTCATTTCAAATTTTATGCTTACTTTGAAGTTATCATGTGGTGGTGATTTCATAAGGTCATAAATTACATACATTAGTTGAAATGTAGCTTATTCATAAAAGATACATAAACAAGTTCAACAATAAGTGATGATTCGAAAAAAGTGTTGAATTCGCTAGTGCAATTGTAGGAGAAACTGTCTTCTAGCAGTGCAGGCTATTGTTATAATCAAATTGTTTAGAGATTTATCTGATTATCCGATAGTTAAGATTCCTGCAATAGTAAAAAGTACTAAATGGCAACAAATGGACTGTTACGGAATCATAGGAAGGAAAATGCAGAAAACTCCAGTACATCTAGTAAACATACTTTCTGTAATAATACTTTTACCTGATTCAAAAGGTTGTAACTTTGTACTAACCATTTTTTTTTTTTTTTTTTTGAAATAAGTTCGGTTTTGGAGCTTTTTGATCTAGCCATTACGCTAGTCGTTGTATAAACATTATCACATAATCAATACTATTATAAAGTAAGATGACACCTCGAAACAAGTGCTATGACCTCCTACCATCAAACCTGTCCGTTCTGCAATTTGCTTTGAATGGTAGTGAAATGATTTGCTCTGGAACTTTTTGGCAATATTCGATTTGGCCAATGAACGACCAGCTTTAATAGTTGCATTCAATCTCCTATGGTAAGCAGCATGTCTTATATCTTCACGACCTTGCCGGTGACAAATAATAATCACGAACCAAATCTATTATTGACTTGCGAATTGTACCCGCTACTTCATGATTCATTTCAACATAAATAAGAAGTGCTCGAATTCGTTTATTTTTCCTAACATCATTTTTGGACTAAATATAAATTATGCAGCAGAATAAAAAGAGGAATATGCATTAGAATGAAATACGCATAAAATTACGTATGTGAAGTAACATGATTTTTATGGAAAGTGTCATTTGTTGCAATTTAGGGAAGATTCAGCGCAAAAACTTTATTTTTTTGATTTCAAAGGAAATTAAAAACATTGCATAGGATAAAAGGGTTGTGATCAGAATACTTGGAAGTTTCCACAAAGTGACATTTTTGGTGTTGTATTAGAGAACATATTGGATGTTGCATTATGGAAACTAACAATTTAGGGACATATACTTTTATTTAAGTTACTTAAGGCTTTCTGATGTATTGAAATGGAAACTTGTCTGAAGAATGCTCAAGAATGCGAATCATAAACAGGAAGAACAGAGAGCTGTCTGACCCTGCAGGAAGTCACGACAAGGACAGATTCGTCGTATATCCAAAATCGTTGGAACGGATGCACAGCTATACAAATCTGAATTTTCCTGCTTCGAGCATTCATATGGTGCATATGGAATTGGTATACTGTTTAGCGTTGCACATGATCCACTCCTAGAAATGAGTCATTTGTTATAATCATAATATTCATTGACTTATTGAAATGATACCTGCAATTAATCAATATACAGTTAGTCTCATATATTCCATATCAGCGGTAAATCCCACCGAAATGACTGAAAAAGTTCACATACGTATCGAGTGGACGGTAGTAATAAAAATGAACAAAGGACAATACAACTGTTACATCAGGTATGGGAAATCAAAGAACATACTTATTTAGAAATTCAGGCATATTCACGATGCGGAAGAATGAACGTTCACACAGAAAATCTAGAAACAACCAATTACAAAATGTAATTAAAATTGTTTACTTGGGAGGAAATGCTTTCTCATCAGAAGTGCGTAATAATTGACAAGGTCTCATAAAATTTTGAACAAATGAACAAAAATATTCTTATGTTCCTCATTTGTCTGCATTTCAATTCAGTTTTAATTCAAAGTCATATTGATTCGCCTTCATACCTGACTATATCGAAATTAATAAAACTAACTATGCTGATGACATGCTTCTTGACAAGATTGCACTGAAACTGCTTCAACTGTTATCATAGCATGCACAGGAGGAAAACGGCTGACATAGCAAAAGTCCTGTTTGGAAATAAGAATACTGACTCGTTGCAGCATTCCTAAGACTGTGAATTCGAACGGGGTATATGCGATAGGCTAGAAGTGAGCAGGATTGAAGTATATTATTTATTTTTACTATATATTATTCAATTTTTTCACAGGTAACCCTAAATAAAAAATGTAGAATAAGCACATTTTATAGAACCGGATTACTAGCATCAAAACATTCTTCTAAATAGGCAATTGTCGCAGAGTTCGGAAAATGCTATATTTGAGAAATTTCTAGCTGTAAAAACGAAATCATAAGTGCAAACTTCAGGGAAACTAATTTAAATAATTCTGGCTCAAAATCCTGAACCTATTATCAATCAATTTTGTGCGAAAATTCATGATAACTTGATCTAAACACTAACTTGCGGAAGCAAGGCTTCACGTATTGCATCTTCTACTTGCGACGAATTCTAGATGTCAACAGTAAATACATGGGGGTCGACCGATAAAAAGTTCCGCATAAGGATTTTGACTCGTTAGCTGGAATTTTCAGAATATTTGAATTTTATAAAATGAAATAAAAGAACAAGAAAAGCAGTGTTTTCTGATATATTGACTTCGTTATGCCCTCTTTAAAAATGAAATGAAACCTTATACCGCAGCAGACGATTCAGGTTATACATGCCATAATCGGAAATAATTGTAACTCAATAACATCAGCAATGCAACTTGCTAAAGTCCAGTCGAACATGTTGGCTTGTCCTTGAAGAAATCGGATGTTTTCCGAGATTTCGGCGGATTAAACGAAGGACTGATGAAAACAACACCGTTTGCAATAGCTTCCAATGGCGCAGGACCTTCAAACAGAAAACCAAGACCAAAAATATCTTCGCCTTTCTCATTAAAGCATGTAATTCGGGACCTATCAAAACTCCGTGATTTATTATAAGGTTATCGAAATCTGGAAAATTATCGTTAACAGTTGCGTGCACTTCAGTAAATTTTCATACAGTTTCTATGAGTCGTTTCGCATTCTTCCACATATAACCTGCTTTACCGTAGATCTACAAATGCCACACGCAAAATTTATATTTTCAATTCAGAATAATCTCGACCCACGTCCAGAATAACAAACTTTAAATTGAACTATTACCAAAGGATCACAGCTTACCGAAGACCTATCCTTAAATACTAAAATTATATTTGAAATGAAGGGTTCGAGCCTACTAAATCATCCTGCAAAGTACAAAAAAATATAATTCGATATAAACATTCGCTGATGAATCATATTGAACGTTTACCAACGTAATATTATTTTTCTTGATATCTTGCTTAACTGGATCCATTTCCATTACAAATCCGAGAAATGTGTTATCATCTGTATGCGGGTACATCGTCATGAACTGCTGCAAATCTAACTGATGGTTACCCCACGGATTTTTTCTTGACCCACCCAGTAAATTTTTATGAGCAGCAAAATAAATTCGAGAATTGAATTCTGCATGCGTGCCGAACGAATCTAGAATTCGTAGCTTACATCTGAAATAAAACAACTCTTGATCAATGACTGAATGAATTTTGCTTTTTTACTATTCTCTCGGACTTCCATAGAAAAGAATTAGTTTGACCGAGAGGAAATGTACTACGAATAATTCATCTAATTTAATGCAAATAATTTTCAATTGTAATTACTGAAAAAAAAGCCTATAAGACAATATACAGATCTAAATCTGAAAATAAAACAAAAAACTACGATTTTATTAACTTACTTCATTCTGTTAAAAAAATCTTTCATTTTTCCACGAAGATATTTGAGGCCAACGATATCAGTGAAAAGGAGATTAATTACTTCTCTATCATGAAGCGGACAAGGACATATATCATCGATTTTTTTTATGTTTCTGAAAATATATATATATGGAAAAATGATCGATCTGATAAGAAATGAGGTTTATGAGCCAAATTATAAAAATAAAATGCGCAAGAGGATGAACTGTCTTCCTTAGATTCAAATATAAGTTAATTTTCAATAGTGACAATAAAGCAAAAAGAAAAAAATCCCGATCCACTACTGGAAAGACTAGATTAGTAAATAGTTTAGAATCGCAGAAAAACAACATGCCACAATAAGATTACCATTTTGCATTACTTACTAATTATCAATTTATTATGTATTTGTTACAATTGTCGCGGGAGAAGGGATGGGGATCTTATATGCACAAATACATGCAGTGAGCATACTTTTTTAAGATATGTTACTGATTTACTCCTAAAACTAACAGTTATTCATTACAAGGCTGTTTCTTACTCATCCCAATAATTTACTAAAATTTGAAACTGAATCGAATATAATCATCACACAGAACTACTCTTCTTCATATTCTGTCATTATAAAAGTGTATGCAATTAGCATACTTTTTCAGTGTCCTAACTTCAGTAGAGATCATAAGATTGTGGCCCAAAAGATAAAGTGCTGCAATCAAATCAGACCACTGCACAAGTTCTCCAAGTGGCCCACCTGTTGATGATAGCTGGCCGAATTTGAAACCAGATTCCCTACTCAGGGAGCCCATATGCATGATTATCTGCAATTAGTATTTGTATTCAGACAAATGACAATTCTGAAAGAAGGAAAATTAGTAGTGAAATCTGTCCACGCACATTCAGTTTTCGTTGTAGAGACACGACTTTTGGCCACTTGATCATTAATTCATTGTACGCACTCAACCACTTAGGCCACAAAAGAGTAATCCGGGTCCTTATAAACTTATAATTTAATTCATTATCAAACATAAGTTTTAAAAGTCCTGACAGAATTCGTTTCATCTGAAAGTAATCATTCGTGAAATGTACCATATTTTCAATTCTATAAATTATTGATTGAATGTTAAATTCATCTTAAATTTATTTCTCTAAATCTTTAGAATTTCTCATCAGATCCCATGAGATTAGAAAAAAAAAACCAAACAAAAGCGTATATGCATTAGTCAAAGACCGACGAACCGAGCTGTCGACAAACTAGACAACGATGTCATCAGACGTAATACTGTGCATTGAATAATCAGACAAAAGATCTGATCACCTCGGGATTTCTATTCTCAGGAGAAATTGCAGTGCCATTTTTTACAATCTTTCGCCATGACAAAACCGGGCAATACTTCTCGACCTCGGAAAGGTAGGATGTTCCATTTACGCCATAAAATGCATAACATTTGTGTGTTCGCCATTCTTTCTCCATCCACTGCATTTTTTCGCGACAGTTGGAGTATTCGACAGCATCCGCTTCCGATATAGAACACTCTTGCTTTTCTAGATCTGTAATTAGTTGCTAATACAAAAAGGCTTCCAACAATAATTCTGTATCGGTACTAGTTTCTCGCCACTTTTAAATGCTTTTAGCTGTTATAAAGATCTTGCAGCGTGCCCGTAATAACGTATAGCAAATAATTGTCAGAATAATAGTTTTTGAAATGAATTATTTTTGTTCCGAATTGATATATATCCGTTCCTTCCGAGAGTCTCATAATAAAACTCATCTTTATTCTGAAACGACTACGACCAAAAATTTATATAAATGATAGTGCAGAGCTCTGATTAGTTCCTTCAACTTGGTTGCTTCTTTAAATAAAAAAAATATAAAGATAATTGCATATAAAAAGTAGTTGATAACATTTGATGGATAGGCACAGTTTGAAGCTAAGCCAAATTTTATTAAGTGCCTATCAGCGGTGAAAAAAACCAGATTTTGAAGATTGGTCTTAAAATAGCTGATAAAAAATTCAGTTCAATATCTCCAGGGGATGAAAATTTTCTTTTACAGCAACCGGTTAAATTTGTGCATGGGCTATTTTTAAAAGCAATCAGCTAAATCTATTTACAGATGAAACTTTATTTCGTTGTTTTTTTTTTTTTTTTTTTTCTTTGGGACACTATCCCGCAATGCTTCCCTGATTAAAATCCTTCCATTACATTAATCCTGTATTTTGATGGTAATTAGAACTTTATCCATAAGTTTACCTGAGTTTTTAATAACAATATTTTTCAATATTTCAATAACAGTCACATTTTACAGAAGTCTTGATTTCAAAACTAAATGATACACACAATGAATAACTTGAGTCAAAGGAGTTACCATAACGCTGATAACTGATAAAATGATAACAGAACGGTGGGAGGAATCTTGATTCGACCGAGCCATTTGCAGTAATGACTCAGTCGCAGTAAGTTACTTTTATTAATTTGCAGTAAGTTAGTTATTTTTACAGTTACTCTTATTTCTTTTCTCTTTATGACTGACTAGTTGCATTAAGTGATGGCAGTGTGCAGGTAAGTACTTTTGCTTATAAATATTTCGTTCATACTAAGCCAAATAAGGAAATCAACCACAAAGAAGATGAAATTTTAATGAATTAATTTCTACTGTAATTGTTACAACAAGCGAGTAAATTGTACTTTTAAACCGTCATGCATCGCTAATAGTAATACTCCGATGAACAGATTGGCAAACATAAAGACTGAACAAAAGAGCACAATACAATTTGAGCATACATACTGCCCTCGTCTCATTAGCCACCGAATCGAGTAAGACATACTTTCTTCCGATACGGCACCCTGAAGTGATATCAAGAAATGATGATAATCAAATAAGGTGCTTGTTAAACGTGAAGCTTAACTGCTTAAATGTTCCAGCATAAACAGGTTGTGTATTAGAATGGAAGCAGAAATTCTAAAAAACAAAGTTGAGGAACCAAATTTACCTTAGGAAGAAGAACTTTGATTTATAGGATAAAACGAATGGATATCGATAGAAAACATCACAAAAGAATACTTTGACAGTTTCTAATAAGATTTTTTAAAAATGAGTGTTTGCAACCTTCATTTTTGAATTTCCAGTACACTACGAAAATTTGAATAATCAAGATCTTAAACTTATGCCAATCCATATTAATTAATATAGTGAATCGGTAATATATTTCTATATCTCTCACTGAATCATTCCTTCAACAGACTAACCATACCACAATCCACAAATCAGTGCTATCACCTACTCAGTTGTCGAAGGTCGTAGTTTGCATGGCGTCCCCCACCCTGAGTAGGACACAGTGATGGATTTCAGAGATTTTATCGCTTGCAATTACGTGACGCTAAATGAGACACGCGACAAGGGAGTGGGTGCTACGTTTAACGCATTTAACAGCAAAGGATCTGCACTTATTTGACTTATCATTTAATGCTGGTAGAAGTTAAATGATTCAATGGAATTAATTTTCTGGGCAGAACAAATATTGCTGGATAGAATGGGACAGAATAGTCACTGCAACATAAGAAAAGAGTGTCGAGAATAGACATCAATTTATACCTCTTTTAATTTCGATTTGTTGAGGGAAATTTTGGTAGTTGGCTTTCATTAGCATTATCACAATTCCACTTCCATAAAGCAAAAAATGTAGGTTGTCGAGTAGTCATAGCGATACATAATGAATTTTAGTTTCTTTAAAGTTGTTATTCAGAAATGCCTTACTCATCTCAACGAATTCTTCGCTTTATTACTCTGTAATTTTATCGTTCTGATAGTTTTAGGACTTTTCGACTGGTATACTGGAAGATGCTGACCATACAGAAATGAGTTGGAGTCTTGCAAGTAATGCGAATCAAAAATCAGGACATATAAATAGCCTTCTGAAATATGTCATCAGTAACGGTTCGTCAATGCAACCGGACGAGACTATCCTATCGATTCATGTTATTGGCACAAATTTGCATAAATGTAAGTGTTTGTTGTAAATATAAATTAATATGCCTTTTTTTATAACGTTTTTAAAATTCAATAGATAATGCTGTATATTGCCTATGTGATGTTATATCTTTTCAGTACCTAGTAATGATTTGTTGCTTGCTAGTGAAGCATATCGTGTGTTAATCAATCAATTTACGAAACAGCTGAATGAGGAGCTTGTTATTACAATTCATCTGGTAGATATCATACGTTGTTTGTTGACTGGAACGGCATTGCCTACTGAATATCATAGTTATCTATGCTCACAGCAGATTAATCAAAAGAAGCATGACACAGTTGAAGCCGCTCAGCCTTGCATACAGTTAAATATTTCTACTGTAAGTATTTAATTTCTGACATGAATTTTAAAAATTGAAAAGCTGTGAGTTACTTAGCGTGTTCAACATATTCCATAATTTTAAGCAATGATGAAGGCAATTTAGTTTATTAATTGAGTGTATTTATTTACTTTAGGTATACTATACGCTGTTTACTGAGTACGTAATGCTGATTGCGAACTTAACTGTGATAGAAATTTAGAAATAAATTGTTTACTGAAATCATGCACTTTTGCTAGTTAAATTTTCATATAAACTCTTTATTGTCTGCTACTTGTAGCAGGTATTTACCACCTTTGTGTCAATCAGACCGTAATTCAGTATCACACATTTTGCATTGCTGTATGTGGAACAAGATTTTTTTTAATTAATTAGTTTTAATTAATTAAACCTTTTCCAAATTAATTTTGCTATTGAAGCATATCAATTATTGAGAAGAAAATTCGACAGATTTCAGAAAGAAATATTAGCAATAAACGGACTGTCATTATTTTCTTCTTTTTCTATCGAAAAATTAATTTCCGCTTTTATTCCTGCAAAATTCCTTGATCCATTTCGAAGTGCAGTCGCTCATCCTTCATTTCCCGCATATTCCAAAATTGATCACAGGTTGGTAACTTTTCTATTTTACTAGTTAATTTAATGAGAACTTTGAGTAAGTACTTTTTCTGGTAGATTTGTTGCAAGTTGATTTTGATGTCATGTCAAGATTAAATGACATCAATCAGCCAAAACATAGAATATAGTTTGCTTAAAATTTCCGCATTCTATGGCTCGTCAGCCATTTCCACCTATAATTTTTTTTTATTATTAAAGTTAATTTTTTTTTTCTTTAGATAACTTTTAGCAGTTATCATTTTTAGTGACCTATCAATTCTTGAAAATGGGATTTCTAATATCGATAAGTTGTTATGCATCGATTTTGGCATGGCAACTGAAACCGTAGTGGAATGCATCAGTTGTACCTCGAATGCGCTAATTTTGATGATTGGTTCGTTAGCATGTAATTGTACCATTGAAGAAATGCACACGGATGCAGCAAATGCGTGTTGCGCAACAGTAATTAGTGTACATAGGCGTGTCACTGAAATGGCAGTAGGAACACTGTACGCCAGAAATCATTTAACGAACTCCACTGAAATTCTGGTGTTTTGCATTAATGAGGTAGGCTTTTACTGAAAAGACATCTTAGTGGTAAAAATTTTTACATTACTGTATTTAGCAGTTAAAAAAAAATTTTACATTGGTTAGTCACAACAATTTTTTCGTACACAACAAGACAAAGAAAGTTGTTTGTTTGGGAAAAAGAAAAACATTAACTCGTTCCATCATTCTTATCCTCATTTGCAGTTATTGAAAAATTGTAAAACGGAAATTGTGTATGTTTTCGCTAATCGTTTCCTCAGTGTGCTTCCAACGGCTTTATCATTTTTGACATTTATATCGTCTGCTTTATATGAAGCGCTTTGGGGTGTCGCTAAGGAAGCGCTACAACATGCACTGAGACTCGGTGATGCTACTTCAGTCAAAAAGCAAGCTTCAACAGATTCACCTGGTAAACTTTGGATTCTCTACTAGAAATTTGATTTTTATGATTTCGATAAGTTTTAATCAGAATTAGTATTAAAATCCTGTAATTGAAAACTGTAAATTATAGATGATCCGGTAGCAGGGGTTGGTGATTGGTTGGAAAATATTTTGAGAGCCGTACCCGTTTTGATGGATCAGCAAGAAGATGCAATTAATTTGCAAAAGGCTACTCTTTTTACCATATCTTCTTCAACGGTAAAATAAGAGGGAATTTATCGAAACATTGCAAAATTACAAGAATGTGAAATATTAAAACTTATGCCAACTTTCTTTTTTTTGATTTTAGTTGCTAAGCTTATGCGAAAGAAGCTTGTCGTTATTGTTGTTTATGGGAAACACTTCAAACATTTGGACAAGTTCAAGTTTTAATTGTTTCCGGGATTTATGTGCTGCATCAGGTGGTGATCATGGTTATTGTGGAACAGAAGATATTAGTGCTTTATTAATACTACTTCTGGAACATTCCCTGGACAAGGGCTATCTAGAGAAAAACTATAACGTAAGCATTTATGACAATGATATTCTGAGAGAAAAAATTTTCCTTCATGTTAAGTCAAGCTCATTAATTTTCAAATATTTTTTTTTTTTTAAATTATTGTTCTCTGTTTTTTTTCAGGAACAACTGGTGAACAGTTTATTGTATTTTCCAAAAGATAATGAATCAGAAATTATTACTTCTGATCCGTTTTGCCTGAAAATCATTGCTGTTTGTGTGTTGGGACGTCAGAATGTAGCACGAATTGTTTCTCATGTTCTGCGCTCAATAGATGCAGAATCCAGAAATGGTACTCCTGAGCCCTCCACCTTCTGGCTTCTCGAATGTATTTCTGAACTATTAGATATTGAAGATCTGAAAAAGTCAGCTGATTATGCAATGCATATGTTATATGACGTACTAAAGAGGTTTTTTTTTTTTTTCAGTTTTTCTTCTTTAGTTGGGATTCGAAATGGTAAACTAGATGAGCTGTATTTTTCTTGGCTTCACTATTTTGAGTCTATTTTGAGTACTTTACTCATATCTACTGTACTAAAAGATACCCGCAACCAAACTGTATTATATGATGCTATAATTCACTGCATAGTTTTGACCGCTTTGATATTTCAGTGGTGTAAAGCGCCCAAGGGTACGGTATACGTTAGAAGCTGTTCATCTCTTGTTAGTTGGAGGCCAATCTCGTGGTGAAAAAGATGTGGTCATGGAAAAGTTTCGAAAATGTTGTTGTGACTTTTTCGGTGGGATATGTTTTTTATTTTCTTAACTTTGTACCATTGTTTGAACTGATGGTATCAACTTCATTACTTAATTTCTAAAATATTTTATAATGTATAGTATTTCACGCGTTACCCAAGAATCAACGTTTTGGAAAAAAAAAATATTTCTGTATTTAAAGCTACTGCAAGGTGCAAAATACTTTCTTGCAGATCTAAAGAGAGCACCGAGATGGAACGATGCTTTATTAACTCGTTCTATGTTTAATTTCAATCACTGGGATGAACTGCATGATTTGTATATCAATTGGCTATATGATATGCAGTGGGATGAGGAGCACCTTCCTGCACATATCATTTTGCCGGTACGACTGTAGAAAAAATGAATTTTTTATGTGCTTTTGGGCTTATCACTTCAGTTATGTTCAAATAGGTGAAATGATATTCGTTGGACATTATCAGGATATTCATCTCTAAGTGCGTAGATTGTCCTTCTTGTGGACTTTATCGTATTTGTATATCAAGTTTTTGGGATGTATGATAGTGAGGATTTCTTCCGTTTTCAATTTTCATTAGTCATTAGTATCATTTTTATAAATCTGTTCATCATTTTGAAGTCTTTAAGCCTACAGTTTCGTTTCTCTCAAAAATTGTGAGTGGTACTGCTATTCTTTCCGCTGAACGCTGCCATTTTATACGCATTCGACCCTTACTGTTGAATAGCATTTACGCAGCTTATTTGGATGTAAGTTTTTTACAAATCGATGTTTTTGCTGTAACTGAAAGAAATTTGTATTTCTGATCTGTGTATTTCCTCCGGGGGAATATGTTGTATCTGAGATTTGAACATTTTTAAAAATATTGCTTTGTATTGTGACACATAGCTAAAGAAATCGGAGCATCAGTAGGCTATCAGACGAGTTGTTAGACCTCGTAGAAGTGATATTTTGTATTTTTAGAATTATGTTTTATATAGAGTATGTAGTGGTGTTTTTTGCTGTTTTATTTTTATCTTTCTTTCATAGAAATTCAATGATGGGATCACAAATATATACGTAGATTATGTGCTTAAAGTCGAAACACTGGTTACTATTGGTTTGCCAATTATAGATGATTGTGTAAGTTTACGCTTAAGTTTTTTTTTTTTTTTTTTCAGTAGCAAGTTAGATTCAGATTTTCATGTCAAAATTTCTTAGATTTAGTTGTCAGCTTTTGTTAATAGTATCAAAATTTGTAATACATATGTGTGAATTTTCGTAGAATTTATGTATGTTTTTCAGTCTCTCATTGATCTCGTCAATTTACCTCTGATATATTATGATTCTCTATTGTTATTTTACAACCAGCTAAGAAAATATCGTTGCTCAACAGAGGAACTCATCCGGATCACTGAATTCATTTCTGGAATGTATAAGAATGCAATGTAAGTATTTCGATATTTTTATCTATTAGTCAACGCAGAGATCAAGGAAATTTATTCTGGAATTCTTTATTGTTGTGGGAGTTAAGTTGTTCTCGAGGAGCGAAGCACTAAGCAGTTTACAACCCAACGATGAAATCAATACTAACACTACGAGTTAGCCGATTGATTCCAACGGAGAAGAACGGTACTTAAGAGCGGTATTTAAAAATTTTATTAACAAAAAATGGAATGATTTGATGGCTGGCATTGCGACATTTTTTGTTGGATCTACTCTGTCTAACGCGGTTACAGATATTCTAGCGACACGTAGTTTTATTAATCATCAAACAGTCTTGATAATTCCAATCTGCTCCTCAGTTAGTTTCAGTATATTTCAGAAATGTAATTTGTGAACGTAGTAAAGTCACATTGTCTTTGGGTGCATGTGCAGTATCGTTGTCGCTTGCAAAAAGTGACGTACTGAACAGTACAGTCCCTCATGCACGTGGTGAACTTCATTCTATTCTGAATGATGATTTATTAAAGTTGGTTCGTGCATGGGCCGGACTTATGTTACCTGAACTAAAGTTTTCTTGTACACCAGCTATGTTGGATGCAATAAGTGATACATTTAAGTCACCGTGTTCTGTTGTTACAAAAGTGCAGGATATTAAGAAACAGGTAAAAATTACTAATACATTTAAGATTAATGGAAAAGTTTTTGTAAATTCCATGTAAAGTTGGTTCGTGGATGAAGTTGATTCGTGAGCTCCACACATCCGCATATTGTATATGCTAAACTCTGAGGAAAATTTTCTTAAATTTTTTAAGGTATGAAGTGTTCTAGTAGTTCTAATAATGTTTTTTTTTTTTTTCATTTTGTTTGAATTTTTGATAGTGGTAACCCTAACTGATGCATAAGTGTTTATATTTCATTTCGCCAATTGAATTCATATCATAGTGGTATCTATTCGTATCGCAAGGAGAATAGAATGAATTTGAAATTTCATCGGTCTTCATTTACTTTGCTGTAGAAAGGAATCTTTCACATGGAAGAGCATAAAAAGTATCTTAGATGAAATCAAAGTGTATATCAATAATTCTACGTGTGGTTTGCACTTAGTAATTGTTCGCCTTTGCATTCAAACTTATTAGTTATAAAATTATTTTGGAAAAAGAAATCTAGGATATTCGATCTCATTTTCAATTTGCTTTGCAGATGTTTGCTGCATTCTGTTCACTTTGCGATAATACAACTCGATTTGTACTTAATCAGTTATTATCAAGGTTAGTTTTTTCTAATTTTATGCCAAAGGGTTAGTGTTTCTTCTGTTTTGGTAGAATAGAATAGACCATGTTAAGAACACTCGTTTTTTAGTATACTAAAATGCTTGAGACATAAAAAAGTGTTCGATCAAAAAACTTTACTAGTGACGTTTATTAGCAAAGTATTACAACTGATATAAATTATTAAAGTAGTAGGCATTCTGCTACTTTGAATTTCCTTAATCGCTGATTGAAATTAGAGAAATTGGGAGCTGGGAGATTTCGTATTGGCATTTTATTAGGGAACGAAATGAATTTAAAAATGGAGTTACTTTAGAAGTTGTGTGCGACGTCAAGAGGAAACGCGATTGCTTCTTGACTGGATGATTTTTATCCAGAGTTCGGACCTCACAGGAACAGCAACACGTGAATTGAATCAGTCGGTGTTGTCCAAAATGAATGCAGTTCTGGTAATGAGCAGTCATTTAGCTCGTATTGTTTCTACTTTATTGGATGGAATATTAGCTCAACAGATTGCCACAGAAACAAATTTACTGTATGTCTTTTTTTTTTTTTTTTTTTTTCGTATTTTAAAACAATCTGCATTATCTCCATATGATTACGAGAATTTTTAGCATTTTACAAGAAAATCTAATAAATTGCTGAAATATGTATTTTCAAACTGTTCTGTAATCTACTTTTCAATAAACTCTGAAAAAAATTGGCTTCTGTTGCATTCACTTTATATTCACGCTTTTAGCAATGGTCAATCAGTTTTTTGCTCTGTCCTAATACATTTGATCTCATCACAAAGCTCTGTCAATTTGCCGTGGAATACGTTGCCAGAAGACATCTTTTCGTCCGTTCTGAGTCACATTGCGATGGATGATTCACTTACGAAACGTTCAGTACCATTTGTCAACTTGCTTTCGACCATTTGTTGTTTGAAAAGTGTGTTTCTTAATTTATAGATGGTTTCAAAACTTTAGTTTTAGCAGTTAGATTTGGAAATCCATTGTATCAGGATGATGATTATTACGCTGTATTCACTCTTTTTTCCTGTAGGTAATCTTTTTTTCAGATTCACATTTGAATTCACGATTTCTCTCACCGCTCGAGATACATCAGAATTTACTTGTTCACTGGGTTAACGTTAGTGCAGTCCCGCTTGAGACATTTTGTATGCTGCAACCTTTGATTGAATATTTAGCAGGTGATAGGCATCGAAAGCCAAATTTTGTAGATCCAGCGTTTCGAAATTTGTTAGGACAAATGATTAATATCCTTTTTGGTGAGAATGTTCATCAACGAACAGCCGATAGTTCCTCCATTGAAGTGAAACGAAGTGATCGATGGGCGTATGCATCACTATGCTGCAGAAAAATGGTATTTATTCATCCGTGCCTTTTGTGACATTTTTCGTTTCAGAATCTAAAAAACAATATATTATAAGAAGCATTAGTTATTTTTTTCAGAACAATCAGAATGAGAAAGATAATAGTTCCTCAGATCAGAGGTGTGAGCAGTTCAAAGAAATGAATATCTTCAGTAAATGTTTGTTAACATTGTTAAATATTGGTGGTCCAAAAATACACTGTCACTTAATTCAGCAGTGCGCAAAGTTATTTTGTAACTTGGTTGATGTAATCCGAAAAGATGGATTGGAGGTGATGTTTAATTTTACCTGAAACATTTCATATCTTTATCTTGTTTTTAATATCCAGTTTTTGCGAATTTCCTGAATCAGCTGTGACTCTTGATATCTTGAACCAGTTGTTGTTCCACGATATATGCAGCATGCTTCTGGAATTTCACTGACGAACTTGGCAGTGATTTATCCGAATAATCCAATTTAACTGACCCAGCTCCTATTTTCCAATAAGTCTTATATGTAATACATTTCAGCTTTTAAAAGGCTCATCTAATGTGTCAAGTTCGCAGGTCACAACTGTTTTGTATGCGTTTTTTTTTCTGTGTAACATATTGGATTATATCGATAGTTTGTGCCGGACTCTTTGTCCTCCAAGTGTTATCAGAGACGATTCAGACGATCTTTTCACAGTTTTTACTCCGAAGCATATAATTAAGGTAGAATTGCTTTCTAGATTTTTTTTATTATGACAGAGATGTGTGTGGTTTAAATTGGTCAGTAGACTCAAAATTGCAATGGGTAAATAATATTCGTTTAACATCTCGAACAAGAATGTTCGACAATGTGCAATTATGCAGTGTGTAATCATGGTCTTAATTAGAAGATGAAACAGAAAATGTTTCAGAGATTAGTAAAATTACGAATATTCCGCAAAATTTATACGTAGAATTAATTTATTTATATTTTACAATTATACGTTATGTTGCAGTAGTAACACAAGTAACGGTACTTTCCGTGATGCAGGATTTCGATGTTTAAAATTTTTAGAAGACGACGAGTTCGCGTAGTCGTGCATTACCACTGTGTACATTCGCTTCAACGGCGAAGCAGTTTATTCAACAGCACTGGTACAATTGTTACACTTGTGGTATGGTTGAAGGAGAAGGTGTTTGTTCAGTGTGTGCGGTTAATTGTCATCGAGGTCATGATCTATCATACAGGTAGCACTTTAAATCTTTCTTAAGCATTAGGGGAATACAGCCTGAAACTATCAACTAGTCCATTTTGAGAAATAATATTATTTATCTTTTCTTATTTTTGTTTTAATTTCGTTTTTCATAAAGAGGAAATTGTTATTCTTAATTGTTACAACAAAAACAGAACTTTATCTATACTTTATAGTTGAAAAGATACTTATATTCAGCTTTTGAAAATTAGACATCCAATGTTGGGTGTAGGTTGTGTTGCCGCTTTATTATTTAAATTTCTTTTTGACCGAGTTTGAAATGACTAACTTGCTTTATCATTTAAATCTTCAGTAAATTTGGATCATTCTTTTGCGACTGCGGAGCTAAAGGTTGTGTTGCATTGAAGTCTACATCACATCCTAAGCCGCAGCGTGTCAGTAATCAAAAATATACGACATTGCCTAGTAATCGCCTAAAATCGTCAAAGCACAGATTGAGTCTGTTTAGTCATCTTTTGGTTATGGATGAAGACAAGGCAGAAATTGAAAATCATTTGGTATGATTACTTTTTTCTTCAATTTGCTGATTTCTAAGATGTTTTGCATCTAACTCGAATAATATTTTTGATTGACTTAGGCAGTTTGAGTAATGTGATGGTGGTAACGCTGTCACTCAATAAAATGCTAATCTAAAGCAGAAGAGTTTATTTTTACTCATTTCTTGAAATTGAAAGATTAATAGCTGCATATCTATTATTTGCTTTTATGTTATATCTCCCGAAGAATATTCCTCATGAATTTTTCGTTTTTGATTTTTGGATCTGTTCACATACCAACATCAAGTTTGCTAAATTTATATCTTATTTTTGGATATTTCTATTTTATTATCAATTTTTTTAGTGTCAGTTTATGGAGGTATTGACAGCTAATCGGGAAAATATTGTATCACTGATTACTGCAGTGAAGGAAGGAGTGCGTTTGCGATCAAATAAGATCCGCGAAACACGACTAAACGATGTCGGTGCAAAACTGACACAAGGCTTGACAATATCAACAGATCGTGTTATTATGGTGTGTGGGTTCTTTGTTAAAACTGCATAGTTCCATTTGGTTTTGAAAGAATGACGTAAATGCTGATAAATAGGTGAGATATTAGATACCACTGGTCAAAATACAGGAAACTGTATTAATACAAGTTATGAAAAATAATGCATTTCTAGGCAATTATTTTTCTATTTCATCTGAAAATTTGAAGTATGAGATATTACATGCTGTGCTTATTAGGCAGTAAGCAGAATTCCGGGTATTATTTTTAAAATTCAATAATTTATTTGAATTTATTGCTTTCAATTCTTTCATCTTTTAGGAGCCACTAACTGCATGTCCTAAAACTCTTTTCGATAAACGGACTGAAACAGGAAAAAGTGTAGATAATATAATAGCGTCTCTTGAAATTGGTGGTACTATTCTTCTCGCTGCTGTGCAGGAAACCTCGAAGATTGTTTTGCTAGGCATTCGATCGTTGTTGAGTGCATCTATGAGAGATTGCGATATACCAGTCAGTTCCATTTATAACCATAAGAGTTTCTAGATTTATAAGCTATTTTTGCTAATTCTGTTCATGCTTATATTTGCATATACACATCATAAAATTTGCAGTGATAAGATTGACAGGGTGACTGACACGCTTTTTGTCAGGCAGACTGAGAAGCTATCTTTTTGGTAATCCGCTAAAGTTACTTGTGCTGACCCAGTGAATGAATAAGTAGAAAAAACTATATCTTCGATACCATAAATTCTTTTATCGAGTCCAAGCAGGATAATTCTTCACTGTTCATTTGTACTGCTTCTACCATTTTCTTATTCCTATGCTTGCAGCGAGTTGAATTAGATGTAGCTGGATTCAAAATAGTTGCACTTGCAAGTATGAATGATTTACTAGCTGTATGCGGCTTGAATCAGTGTCTCATTCTACGGATTAGTAAGGATGGTGATGTATCTGAAAAGCAAAATGTTGAATTTACTAACGCATTTCCGTCTTATGTTGTTCCAAAGGTATGCTTTTAACTATTTTGAGTTTCACGTCATAACCACGACAGATGTATGGATAGAGTTATCTTCTTGTTATTTAGTAAATTTACTTGTAGTTTTTCGAAATTTATAACGAAAGGGATTGTCGTTTTTTAGTGCATACAATACCATTTTTTAAATTTAGTTAACTATTTATGTTGATAATATTCTTGCAAATTTGTTTTGCTCTCCCGTAACAGCTGCTTTTTTTAAGATGAGGTGGATTAATTGTAATAATAACAATATGATAGCGGTTGCGGCATTGCAGTTTATTCGAATTTATGACTTAAATTCGGCGAATGTTCCATCAACTTTCGAATTCGTCCTTCCAATGGGCGATGTTACCGAACTGGCATTTGGTATGTAAGGCGGGAGACTAAAAACTCTATTTTTTTTTTTCGATTTTGGCTTTGTGCATTTTACTTATCCGTTTCCTGAAGATTATTCAAATGTCCTGAAGCAGATATGAACCGTTTTTAATTATATCACCTTTTACAGGTAAGCGGAACGATGGTTTGATCATTATCATTGTACTCTCGTCCGCAGGACACGTTTACATGGAGGAATTGGAAAAAGCTAGACGTGCTGATGGAGCTTCTTATTTTATGACAACAACGCTACAGTTGCCAACAACTTCCAGTGCCATCTCAATGCATTATTCCACAGAAATTCGATTTTTATTCGTTTCTATGGAAAGTGAGCTTTACTCCCTTAGATGACAAGATTTCTATAAATGAATCTACGGAATTGGTTATATTGCCAACTGTTAATCCTTACTTATTAATTCGTTTCTTTTTTATTATTTTCCGTGGGTAAACTTTGCTTCAGGTAACACATATGTATTGCACTTCAATGGTACAGAATTCGAAGAAGCCAAAAGTCTTCCATTCGACTTTCCGCTGATGAATTGGTGTGAATGCGCCGGAGTCTTTGCAGCTCTCTCGCATCCATCAAGTGCTTGTGTTGTTTTCCTCTACCCATATGGCAATACTCTATATACACAAACGAAGACTCTAACTGATCCTGCAACAACTCAATGCATGCTGCTTGGCTCAGATTGCGTATCTCAATTTCTCATACAAATTCTGGCAGATCAAAACATACAGCTCTTTCGGAGGTTACCATCATCTTTACAAGATAACCATAATTTGAAATGTAGTTGCCGTCCATATAAAATTAAGATACATTTGCATCATTGTTAGACCTATACTTTAAGCTTTTGAAGAAGTGTCTAGAAATTTCAAGCTGAAAAAAAAACAACTGTGTAGCTCTAAATATTTGAAATAAATATCATCTTTGGCTTTTTTAAGCAGTCAGAATATTAAAAATGGTTTTACACTTGTAATATTGTTTCAAAGCAAATTGTTTTACAGTAATCGTGCGTTTTGTTTTCCCTGACATAGTGGCACCTAGTGATCTTGTTTTTGTCTTGATCTTTTAGAAAATTTAAAAAAAAGATAGGAATTTCAGTTGTTGGTTAATGGAACCTGATTTTTGGGTGAAGGACGTGGAACGTTCAGTATTGGAAACAGAAGTAAAACCATGCACTATTATGGAGGATGAGATACCAGAATCAGATATGGTTACAGTATTTGAACAGTGTCGTCCAATCCAAAAATTAGAATTTTGCAGTAAAGCACTTGAGCAAGTTTATGACACTGTTGAGCTAACAAAAAGGATTACCACTTCCGGAATGAGCGCTGTTTGTTTGAAGGTATGCCATGTCCTTTTTATCGTACTCGCACTGAGTGTAATATTTGTAAGGTGAGTAATAAGCAAAAACAAATCTTTGAGTTAAGAGACCAAAACATTTGAAAACCAGTTTTTTTCTGGCATTGAATTGAGTGTATTGGCTGTGTCGTTAGATGTAATCCCAGTTGTCTTTTAAGCAGGCTAGATATCTAAATGAAGTATGAACAAAACTTTTCAGTTTCTGTTATTAAATTTCTGCTCAATTTCAGCAAAAAGAATTTGAAGTTGTGGTGAAGAACCTGGATTGGAACTGCGTCATATGTGCATTACGCATCGAAGTCACACCAGACAAGTGTCCCACAAGTGTTACGGTTTTTGGCAAAAAGATCAACTTACAAACGAAGACGCCACGAATGTTCGATGTACGATTAACACGAAAGCAATCTATCAATTGGTAATTTTTTTTCTTCAAGTCGTTATTTCATTTCCATGCTCGTAATGTTTGTCATAGATGGCACAGTAGACAAAGACTATAGATGTTAACATTCCCAAAAGTTAGTTTGTGTTTTTTCCTCTATTTCATTATTATTATTAATGAAGAGTGCTTTCTATAATCACATCAAGTATTTAAAATATATATGCGATTTAGCCTATAGTTTTTCTGCAGAAGAAAGCAACTGGTAGCTATAGAGTAGAAAAAATTTCCTTTTTAGGCAAGTTTAAAAGGCAGTAGTGCTTATTTTCGATCTTTTAAAAATGCTGATCATTATCATGTTAAATTTGTTGAAATTTGCGCAGAATTATAACCTTTATATCTCTATAATCCATATTAACTTTAGTGATTCTCACAAAAGAAATCGGTAAACCTAAATTAAAGCTTTTGAAGGCATGGTATTGCAGGAATAATCAATGTTAAATCTTATATGCGACTTAATGCCAAAATTTATTTGTTACTACTTATGTGTATGATTATGTATTTGCAGCAACAATGAAGTGACATTGAATTTCATTTGTAACAATGTACCTGCACAAATTTGGTCGATTAAGGTGGACTTTTTCATCTTTTTTAATTAAATTTAAATTTTTCCTTTTGGTTGATATAATATATAAACATAAAATTACATATTTCAGTGAACTTTTTACTGTTTTTATATATTGCTATAAATTTTAGGTTTTCGGCAAAACGAAAAAAGATTTTGGTTTTCCTACGGCTTCCTATCGTTTTAACCAAATTATTACTCTCCCCGAGCAACTGGTTGCCTCATTTATCTCTACATGTTACAGGCTACATTCTTGTACCAAACAGAAGGTTACCCTTCCTTTAAACTTTGCTCTTTTATAAGATGTTTGTGATTTGTGCTGTGTCTGCCGAAGTGTCTTCCCCAAATAAGTCCATAAATTATTTTTTCGCGAAGGGGTAATTATATATTTCTATTTTTTTTTCACAAAGGTATTTTTTTCGATTTTCTGTAGTTTTAAGCCTACATAATTTTTTAGCGCATGGATTGGCTTCTATCAGTTGCATTAAATTTTACTGCTCCGGACTTTGAGCACGTTACCGTGAATCATCGAGCATTAATCCTGCTGAGGCATTTATCACCTACAACCTCGTCATTTCTCGAACAAAAGGTTATTGAAACAGTTTAGACTTTTTGAAATTATACCAGTTAGTTGGTATATTTTCAAAATGGTGCTGCCAACTTCTTGTATTGAATTCGCTATTACCATTCATGATCCACGTCTTATGTAAATTATTAAGCCAGAATATAATATCCAGGATATTTATACCATTATTCTAACCTGTTAAGTGCCAACAAAAAGATTATTTTTTTTGTGAGATCTTAAGTCCTATGATAAGTTGATGCATTGTTAACAATTTTTTGTTATTTATTTATAATTCTAGGATGCTGCTTTATTTTCATCACTCAGTAACCATCGAAAAGCTGGAACTTTGCAGCTATCACTTTTCAATGCCTTTGCTACCCAGTTGAAAGTGATAACTTTGCATCGTGTGACATCTTTTCACCAGTTAATTAAGAAGCGTTAGTTTTGTTTCACAAATTCATTTTTCATTCAAAAAGTAGATTGGAATACTAATTTTAATTACAAGATACTGAAAATGCAAATTGTTCGTCAATTTCTTCCTAAAGTAGTTATGGTTTTTTATTTTCGAACTTGGTAAACACCACTTTATGCAAATAGCTGATAAAAATCAAATAGTATATTTGTAGTACATATTGAATTTATTCGTATGTTTTTAATACCATTAACGATGCTGATGGTAATGTTCTTTAAACATTAAAATAATTAATATGTTAACAGCAGTGAAGCCTGTTAATCACCATTATTCTTACTAATAAATAAAAAGACACAGGCATTCGTCCTTAAATGTTAATACAATCGATATTACACTAGAGAGCTTTAATTATTAAATATAGCGGGCTTCGGTTTATTAGCAGAAAAATTAACCTGAAAAAGTAATTTGTAGGTCAGGTTGAAAAATATTTAAAACATCCGTTGAGTAACATGTATGAATCTGTTTAATTCAGTTTTTTTAAAATCAACCTCGACAAATGAAATACACAAAATTTCATGATGTGTTGTTTAAATTGTTTGTTCGAGGAGGGTTACTGGAGAGAATTTATTCATTGAAGATTTGCAGTTGGAACTAGTAGTTAAAAACGAATTACGAGAAATAATTGGCTAAAATTAAAATTAAGATATTAATAAAATATAAATAAATATAAATACTAAATTGGTTGAAAAATAGTGGTGTAAAAAGCATTGAAAATACGGCTAAAATAATGTAACTTCTAAAAAATGTAAAAGAATTACGTGTGGAAAACATTCCCAGGAATGTAGTTGGAAAACAACAAAAACAACAATTATTTAGATTTCGGTGGTATACTTCCTTTTTTGAATATCTGTGTGGATTTTATCTTCTCGAATGATTTTGCTGCGGATGCAATATTAGAGCAGTTCCTGATATCTGCTTTTGTATATCTGGCTGTAAATGTGGAAAATTCTGCAGAAATAACGCAGCTTATTTTGGAAATATTGTTTTCGGATGTTGGTGTCAAATTTTTTAAACATTTTATTCCTTCAAAGTGTTTTTATGATTTAAATAGTCTAAATCGTGATTTTAGTTTTCATTTTGCTATTTACAGTCACTGTTGTCTAAAAAATAATTGCATTAATTTGTTTTATTGATTCGTGCATTCTTAGAAATTTCTGAATTCCAGAACATAGTCATTGCTCATCGTTGCAAATGTTTGATGTCGTCTATAATTTCGAACTATTGTATTGCAAGTGTACAAAATCATAGCAACTTATTTTCGTTTATTGGTGCTATTACACCTACAACTTTGACGGATAAATACACAGCTTCCGCCGAGGGACTACATATGGGTGTTGTAATCCAAGATGCTATCGGATTTAAGCCGGCGATTATTGATGAGCTTGAAAATCAAATAAACAAGGAGAAAGGCATACCCGTTCAGCTGAACCCCTCATCAAATTTGGAGAATTTTAACAGAAGTAAATTTTCTTCCTTCGTTCAATTTTCTAAATTGGATTAATTTTCAAGTTTAAGCAAATGGAAATTTTTTCTCATTTGCTCCCTAACCTATACAATTAAAATTATAGCAAGATATGTTAGACTATAATCTCCAAAGCTTTCAATTAGTTGTGATGGTGTTGTTTAGGCTTCAGTTCAATATCCTGTATCTACTAACGAATTTGCACGCGTCTTTTTTTTTTTTTTTTTTTTTTTTCAAATAAACACGGGCAGTGTACGACATTTCTAACAAGACCATATTTCATCATTTTGTAGCAGTCGTATCATGTTTGATATTCATCAATTCCATCTGACCTAAGGTTTGCCGGGAATTTCCTGAATTTTTGATAAACAGAAAATTTGAATATTAGAATTGACGTTTACGTCCGGATCTCGCGAAAAAAAATATTACTTTCTTCAGAAATGGCTTGGATCGGGCAACTTCTGCTAGCTTTTGTTTCCCGACTCGATATTTGTAGTTGTGATGGTATACGCTGTTTGGCACCAGCACAGACAATACTGTTTTTGATGGGTCAACATGCTCCAGACCAACTAACCGATCTCGTAAATATGCTACTGGATTTTAAATTTTAGTTAGATGTGGAAGTATTTTTCGAAATCTCGAATTGGTCGATACGTAGTAGTTTCAGATCGATTATTTAATAAGTGGGCTAGACTTTAGCAAAGTACAGACAGAAAGAACAGTGAAAGCAGAACGTGATCAAGTCATTTTACGCTTAATATATGTTATTCTTGTTCAATGTACATCGCACAATTGGCCATCCATGAATAGCAGAAAGATAGTCGATGATGGAATTCAAAGTGTTACTATACCAAAAAGTGCAGAAGTTAGTTTTTTAATAGAGTGCGGAACACTCTGTTATGTTAGGAAGGCAATACTTTTTATTTGGACATTCAAATTTAGAATTAAAAAAGGAAGTTTTTGGGCAGAAAAGGAAAAAAAAAATGACTGGTATTCTATCGACAGGATCTTTATACACTTTGATGGTACTGAAAACATTATTTATAAAACAGAAATTTTCAACTCCGAAAATCTGGGAAACAATTTGAGATTCATTTTGTATTTGTTTTGTTGAGGAAGTAAATAAATTTATGCTATAATTTTAAAATTCTCTATCTTGCAGCTGACTACAATATTAGATACTGCTGCTGACGTATCAGCAGTCCCGCCGGCTGGAAGTGTGGAGGATGAAGACGATGCAGAAGGTGGTGGGGAATCTGATCTAGAACAGATGGAGGATATTGAACTTACAGGTGATATATCATCATCTAGCCGTGATGCAACACCTCAACAAGATGATACTGACATGTCTGCAATAAATAATGTCCCTCAAGTGGCAAGTCAGGAACACGAAGGTGTATCTGTAACTCCTGAGCCTCAAGTTTCTTTGGCTGTGAAAGTTGCTCATACTTTGGTAAGCATTGAATGAAGTTTTTAAGAGTGGTTCTGGGGAGATTTTCTCTTGTTTCCTTGTTCATTGACTGTCAGTTGTTTTCACGCGTAATTGAATCGTCGGCGCTTTTGGCTTTCGAAATGAGCATTGAGCACTTAAGTTCGCTAATGCGAGCTAATGCGAGCTTAAGAATTCTAAAATATGTTTATTTTGTTCATGAATTTCAAAAGCTCGAGTGGTATTTATAAAGCAGCTAATTCTAAAATATGTTTCTTTTGATTTCATGGATTTAATTCAAATGATTTAGGAGTCTGCTGGGGCTCTGAATCACTGTTATATTCTTTTACAATCCTTGAAAACAGAATGGACTAAGCAAATGCAGTCTGCCGAACAAACTATCCAGAAACTCTCCTCTGTTCCACCAGAGTTACAGCCTGACCTTGCACCATTATTTAATGCTCGTTCATTAAATGTCAATCCAGGAAATGTCTTCTCTATATACACAACGTTAATTGTCGAAATGGCACTTCGGTTGCCCTATCAAGTAAATTTTGTTTATATATCTCTATTGAAGTGTGTATTTAATCTGGACTGCTGTTTTAAAACCCTTTAGCAGCTTAAGAAAAATGAAGTTTGGCTGTCAAAGTGGATTTTATGTTTTCTTATGTTTTTTAATTGCTATAGATGGTCAGTCCAGTCCTTGAGGCCTATTTCTATGAAAACAATTGAATAAAATAAAGCCGATTAAATTTTTCTTTCAAAATATTAGGAAATTATTGTGTAAATCATCGGTGTCTTGAAATTGTTTTCATTTTCATCTTTTTATTACCTGATACAAATTTGACATACCATTTTTTGAATTATTTTTATTGTAATCTTTCGTTGATTCAACATACGTGGTCATCCTAAACCCTTTGTGAACCTTTTGGGCGAAACTAAATAACTTTAAGAAATGGTTTGCTCTCAATAGATTTTCAGCTCAAAAAAATTTTGGGTGATGAGTTATTGTTGGACAACAAATGGGAGAATCTTTTATGTGATTACATAACGCAGGAGCCGTCAACAATGCGTAGACTTGCTCGAAAGCTGCTTTTACTAATGTGTGGTTCCGATACGGTGAGTTGGTTTGTTAGGTGCATGCATATATATTTTCCTTCATTATCAACTTTTTCTTCATTTTCAAATTTATTGATCTAGTTCACTTCTAAACAAAAGAATGAAAAATTATTGTTGGTCATTTTACTACTGCTTAACTAAAGGTAAAATGAAAACCACCTTGATTTGTTGAAATGAACTTATTACATTGAATTATATAGTTATTCGATGATCTAATTCATTTATTTGTTTGGAGGTCAAGAAGCCAGATAACATCGCTTGTATTATGCATATTATTCTACAATTTTTTAGGCCAAGTACCGACAAGTTCGTGATGAGCACATCATTCATGATTTACTAGCTAATTTGAAAAAGCGCCTGAAAAGCCGTTCAAGTTTAGAATATTTCGAATTAAGTGATATTGTTAGTCGTATCAACGGAATTGCAGTAGTTTCTGAGAGGCGCTGCGTTGTTTGGCAGAGAATATGTTTAAAAGAAGTGAGTCTGTCTGTTATATGCTTCTTTAATTTGGATTGGATTTAAAATTTAAAATTGCATAATTCCTTTCTTAGTTGCCATGGTTGATGGAATTAGCGTGTATGATGCCTGATGTTGCCTGCGACGCTGTTCTTAATCTCATTCTACTGGCTATTCGAACATCCGAAGATTCCGATGATGAATTACTGTGTTGTTCACTAGTCAATATACTTTTAAGCAAGCAAAAGCCTTGTGCATTGTTCAAAAGACTGATTACGAGGTATTTTTTTTTTATGTTTCAGTTGATCTCTGTTTTACGCCAGCGTTTGAAAAAGGAAATATTTTCCAATTTTTATCTGAGTCGTTTATAATGAATAATTTCATAATATATACCACGCCTATTTGCGAAGTGCGTACCTCTTAAATCATTTTACACTTGAAAAACTGGATATTTTTCGAAAAAAATTCTGCCATATAATGCTGAATATATTAAACGGAGTAATTTGCTAAACATTATCTTCTTTCCGTCGTTATTCTAACATTAGGAAATGCGCTGATTAGAAAAGTGGCCACCCATATTCTGATTTAAAAAATCAATTCTGGATTAGTTTTACAGAATATACTTTCAAATTGCAGGTTCCTGCTGGGCGAAAATGAAGAAAGACGTTGGACACTGCATGCAATTCTACGTGCTACTTTACAACTTGCTTCACGACCCAATCAACTGTTACTGATTAATTACCTGTATAAGCACACTTGGCCTTATGCACATGAAATGGGTAATCGAGCTGCACAATTAGTAGATCTTCTGTCTTGCTATCTACCTCGATTTTTATCGAAGTTAGCTTTGTCACTTTTAGTTTAACGAAGATATTTTAAGCTAGTATCTGAGGACTTTAATTTTAGAAGTATTTCTTCGAGGTGAAGGCTTTGCTGTTCGTTGATTTCATCCTTCGGAGCAAATCTGTAAATTTCATTTTCTAATAGAATTAGAGGTCATGTTGAGGATGTACGGGATCCCAATTCTATTCTATCATTTATGACTTGTATTGAGGGATGAATTGATTACGGTTTATAAGGAAGCTGTAGCGACGATCAATAGTGCATTATACACATTGGAAAAAAGTCGAAGTTCGGTTATTTTCGAAAAATTATGTGAATTTATCGGTAAATTTTCAAGCTCGTTGCTTTATTTATGCTTCCTTTTTTAAAATATTGGCTTATTGCTTCCTATTATTATTTGTGTAAAGAAAAAATAATCTCGCACTGTTCTGAACAATGAATCATATGGCATCAAAGAAATTTTAGGTTGGACCCAACTCTTCCTATATGACATTAAAAGCTACATTTTATGCTACTGTTATGAGGATTTCAGGATCACCAGATATTTCTGTACTAAGTAAATCTCCATGTCTGATATGTTCGGATTCGGATCATCCAATGGAACAATTGAAATTATCAGCAATTAAATTGGATTCCCGCTTCACTACGTCGGCACAGATGATCAAATTGATGGGCCATTTCGAGGTGTTTAGATGTTTTCAAAAAAGTATAACAGCTTCTTATATAGAAAGAGCTTGACAGTTTTTACATTATTTAGATCAGTGAGAATACAAAAGAGTAATTCAATACTATAAATAGCTAGAGAGCAAAATTATAGGTGTCGCGAATCATCATACGTTTGAGTGAAATCAAGCGAACAAAAATGGTGAAACGCTTCAGGTTTTACTATTGCAATAAAATACTTGAATCTGCGATTGACCTCAAAAATCGGCCTGAACTTTGGGAGAAAGCAGCTGATGTTAAGGTTGTATTTTTCTTTTTTGTATAGTTATAACGAAAATTTAGTTAAAACCTTGGTAGTACTCGAGAAATACATGGAACTGTGGATATTAATCTTGAGGAAGTCGTACTGAACCCAGGTGTAGTTATGAGCATACCAGGTTTCTAATCTCTTTCTTTTCTGTTCATATGTAGCCAGTATTGATATTTTCAGTGCTTTTCTTTGATAGATCGTATCAGCCATGACAAAAATGGAATTTCTCACTTCTTGTACCCAATACATTTTTACAGGTAAATCAAGGAGACACCGAAATTGATGTGCAGCTTCCAATCCCAGTTGTTACTTGTAATGTTGTTTTGGAAATGGCCGAATTTTATGATACGAACACAGCCGGAGCTGCAGATGCGCCAGAATTCGTGCACTGCCCACGGTGTTCTACGTCAGTAACACCGAATCCCGGGATATGCTCAAACTGCGGTGAAAATGTCTTTCAGTGCGTGAAGTGTCGAGCAATCAATTACGATGAAAAGGTGTTTTTTAACTTGATTAATTTTTAAGCTTTATCTGAATTCCGCTGATTTTAATGAAAAAGAAAGAAGTAGTTGAATGACTACAATGATGCTCTCGTTGTGTCTGTATTTTTCTTTTGAATGACTTAATTGTCTTTTTTTTCTTTGAATGACTTCTTTTCTTTTGACTTGTGTTTTCTTTTATGCAGGAGCCATTTTTATGCAATTCCTGCGGTTTTTGCAAATATGCTCGCTTGGAAGCAGTGCTGGTTGGCCGGTCGTTACCTTCAGTGCAGGCAATCGAGGACGACAATGACCGAAAAACGGTGAGGTATTCGTGCTGAGTCACTTCAAACTCTCAGAGCAAACTTGTAGGGAACATTGTTTTTTCTGGAGCGTTTATTCTGCTCATAATTTTGTTCTGCTATCTTAGTTTAGGACGCCTAGTAAAAATACACTTTAAAGATGTCCATTTCCGGTTAGTCAGCTGCACTTACTGACGTTTATTTTAAAAACTACTGTTGATTCTGTGGGAGATTTTTGACTTTCTAATAACGTCGGTAATTAAATGTGAGCCATTTGCCTTGAGAGTTAAGAAGTAGTAATATTAACAAAACTAAAGAGAAATGTATTTTCAGACATATGCCCTTATGGAAACTTTATTGAACGACATCGAATCGACACGTTGTCATATTGGAATCATTAGAGCTTTTCTGGAAAAATGCTCGTGGGATTCAGAACCCAATATTCGACCAAATATGATCCTAAAGCACATGACTGTGCAATCATTTACAAGTTTTATGTCAAGTTTAAATTTGAAAGAGGTGTGATTTATTTAATTCAGATCCTTACCCAATATTTAATTATTCTTGAGAAGTTATCCTATTTTTTGCAGGATTATACACTTGCAACACTCTATCGTAGTGCAGAAAAATTGCATAATAAATTATGCGAACAAACTCGTCAGTTAGCAGCATTTCGAGCAGAAATTCTCCGCTACGACATTGAAAATGGCGATGAAACTTTGTCTGACAAACCTCGCACCAGTAATTTTCATTCTAACTCGTAAGTTTCTCTATGAATGTTTTCTTTTTTTTTTAAGCTTTACTAAGCCTGTTTCTAGCGCTGTTATCTCCATTACTACTTATTTAACTCACTATTAATTAAGATCTAACTAGTGAAAGTTAAGATAACCTTGCTTTAACCTTGTGGTATTGAAGGATTCGTTCCTGGTGGCGAATAATGATGTTATTTTGGTTTCAAAAAAAAATTTTATTCCATCAAGATCTACATCAGTACGTGTGGAATAGGTCTTATTTCGGATATATCTGTAAATTTACGGTCCGATTCTCATAACTGATATTTTGAAAACTTTCATTTTCATATGTTCAATTTGTCCTTAGAAAAACTTCATTTAGAAATATTTTCAGTGATCGTTGTGTAGGCTGCATGTCCGCACTAATAGTACATTGTGTATCATTAATACAAGCAACGTGTAGTGATACAAATGCTATGGAGGAAATTATACGTGAAGACTTTGTTTTCAGTAGATTGGTGAGTTTTGTTATGATTGGTAAGACCAATAGGTAGAGATTTACATATGCAATACGGTTATTATGCTTATATATATATATATATATATATATATAGCTGAGGTTGAGACTGGAAGGTTAGTGAACCAACATCAAGCAATATGGTAAAAGTGAAATATCGGAAATTGATGGCAAGTTGCTTAGATAAACATAATCTTAAATATCACGCAGTTGCATTTTGGTATCAGGAGGTATTTATTGAAAACTGAAACGATTGTTGGTAATAATGATATGATTTAAATTTTTTGCAGAATTTAAATAGCAATGTAAAGCCTTTATTACCGATTCTGTCTTTTCATTTCTAAACCATAATAAAAAATAGTTAATTAACAAACAGAAGCAATTAGAAATTGGAGAGCATTAAGAGCATAATTTTTTTTGTCTTTTTCTTATATTGATTTTTTTTTTTTTCTGTATCTAGGTGAATGGATGCACACTTGGTGACGCAGTAGCTCGTTCCGTTCATAGCCTTATTTGGAATCTCTCGGAAATGAGCAAAGAAGCGACACAGAAAATGTGTGAATTGGTAGAGAATGGTGCTCTTCCATGCTACTTGTTAACGAAATCGATATTTGAAAACAAATTTCGGTATTTTTTATGTTCATATGACTTGACAAATTAAGTAGAATTTATTTCAATTTTCAACAGTTACTTTAAGAACGACGACTTCACGAAAACAAATCTTTAGGTTTTGGGAGCAAAAATTGCGCTGCTTGATGCGCATGGCTGTGATAGGGAATGGCAGCACCGAGATGGATTTGCATGTATTGGCTGTATTTCTGAAAATTTGTTCGCCATGTTCAACAAATCTGAAAAATACTTTTGCAGTGGATTCATCTGGTTTTAGCGTTGACAAAGTGAGAAACGCTGGTACTTTTGCCGGTAATATTTTATTAGTATGTGGACAAACTTTTTTCATGTGACATATGACTTATTGTATTATATTACATACTGTTTATAGTATATCTTCTACCAGGTTATCTTTTACCTACACGTGAAGAACAGTCAAAAACAGTTTTGAATGCTTCACAAAATATTGGTCTCGAAGATAATCATAAAGAAAGCGAACAAGAGGAAGTAGAACAGGTCTAAACATTTTTTTTGCTCTTCTGGTTAAGTATGGACTGTTTGAAAATTGAGAAGAGATTGTTTGGAAAGATTTCACAAATTACTAGCAGATTTCTTGGTTATAAAGTCATTCAAAAGTAACTGGAAAGTAACTGTGGTAAAAAATTATGAATTAAAATTATCAATTTTCATAATGACTTATTGAGGGAGTTATGCAGAACCTAATTTATTTTTTGTAAATATTGTAAAATTGGGTTGAAAATAATAGTGTTGCATAACTTATACTTCGTAGAATCTCGTTCTGGATGACACCGTTCTTCACAAAATTATGGAAGATATGAAAATGCTAGACGAAGAAGAACCTGATTTTGACAAATTGCTTATACCCTCTGAACGATTTCCAACGATTGGATGGCTAAAAGGACGGTAAGGACAGAAATTGATCTTTCTATTCCTGGTATTTGTGTTTCTCTTTATTTTTTTTTTTTTTTTTTTGGGAATTTTCCATGTTGTTACTAAACTTTTGGTGCTTTTTTTTTTCTCGAAAATCATTAATTCCTGTAAAGTTTAATTTTTCTAAGATATTAAGAATAGTAAAAATTTTCTAAGATATTAAGAATAGTAAAAATTTAAAGATTTATTTGGGCGGAATATACAAGACTGTTGCAAAACGATGGTCCAGAAAGAGAGCGCAGTATTCTTCAGTACATAAGACGTTGCACTGAAAGTGATCCAAAACGGAAATTTGTCAGTTTGCGTAATTTTCATTATTTATTAATGCGATGTTCGCTTTTCCTAGTGATGTGTTTTTTTTTTTTTTTTATGAATTTTTTTTTTTTTTTTATGAATTTTTTGGTTTAGAGGTATAATCTTCTCTTCATACTCCGCCACATTTTTATGAGATCTACTGATCTGAAGATGTTTTTTTGAATATCTTTAAGTTTTTAAAAGAATTACTCCTATAAACTTTATTAAGCAAACTTCGTTGTTTTTGGTTCTGTAAATGTGATTCGAATTCATTAACTGCCTTGCTGAATATTTAGTGAAACAAAAAACGACTTCCATATATGTACGTATTTTCTATAACAGTATAGCCGATTTCTAACTTTCCAGTCACTTTATCAATGGCTTACTCGTTGTATGTTTTCATCTGTAGCAGCAGTTCGTGCTGCAACCTGTCGTTTACTTGTGATGCTATGTTTTGAAATCAACAACAATGGCGAAGCACAAATCGGATCACCGGTGGACATAGCTCTTGTACTGCAAAAGTGAGTTTGTGAAGAAACTTTTTTTTGGTTTTTTGATTACATTGGTTAAGCTACTAACAATCGCAGCAGATTCCACTGCATTTTATTTTATATGTTACATTATTGGAAACTTTCACTTTTCTTTTCTTTATTTTGCAGTACTTTTAGCTGAAGATATTTAGCGGAGAGCAATGATTTAAAAAGTTGAAATTTTGAAATTGAGATGCTAATTTTTTCAAAAAATTTTGAGGTGGTTTTTCTTATAAGTTTATGCTACTGCAAATAAATTTGATTATCTGAGTTTTGAAAGTTCAGATTCGATTTTAAATATATTTTGCGGTAACCTCACTGAATATCAGAAAAATTGTTGACATTTGAAATGTGAATTAATTAATTTATAAGATTTAAAAAGTTATTCCTGTTTCTGCTTTAGTATTTGGTGTCTCAAATATTTTACGATAATCCTGCTCTGATTTTTGTAACTGGTATTTTTCATGTTCCAGTTTGATTCGAAATCTTTTTCAGAGTACTATTATGGATGCGGAAAATCCGGAACGTTTCGGCTGACAATATTGATGAATACTTTTGTTTGATGCGAACTTTATTAACAACAAGAGAAATTAACAACGTTTTAGTATCGAAACCAGTAGAATTGCATGTTGATATCGTAAAACGAATTTTGCTAGTATGTTTTAATTTTTTTCTTCTATTAGCGCTAATGAAGTTAATTACCAAAACACAGAACTTGTATCAGTACATTTTAGTAAATTATTTAGGGATATAATTTTTGAAACACTTTTTAGTATCTTTTTACAGGCAAGTTTGGATATACGTTTACATGAAGTGAGTAGACCTTCGGGGGATCTTTCAACCGGAATTCTTCTTCATCATCTTATTCGTAAGTTTATCTTAAGTAGAATATATACACTACTTTCTAGAAGAACTCTTATATGCTTGCTCTTCATAAGACTGAATAAATAATGAAATAAGTGAAATCTGTTAATTTAATTAAATAACTTTAATAAGTCATTTATTGAAATGATGAAGTAAAGAAATAAAGACATCTGTTAAACATTTGGGCCAGTTTAGAAAAAAAAAAAAAGAAACAAGCAAAGGAGAAAAACAACTCCACAGTGGCTATTATTGGTAGTTATTGTTACACTGAATAAATATAGCTATTATTGACGATTCTGCCGGTAGTTATTTACGATATTATCTAACTCATATTTTCAGAAGTTTTGAATTGTATGATGCAACGGGATCAGAATGGTTGGAATTTGCTGCACGAATCTAGTCCTATTATGCTTCCACTTCTGCTTCGAACTGTTTGCGCACTCAAACAAGTTACTATTCATCGTACCTTGTAAGTTCATCAAATGTCGGAAGTATCATACAACAAACATAGTGGAATGGTAAACACTGCAATTAACAATGCTATATTTTAAGTTATGTGAACGAATCTGTCAAGGATCTCAGTATGCTGCTGATGCGCATTGCATTGAAACGACCAATCTTAGTTCTGAAAGAGGCGACACGGCGAATAGGAGCTCATCCGCAAGAATTGCGCATACAGGCTTATCTTTTATCAATTATCAACGATATTATTTATCCATTATTGAAGAAAGAGGAGGATTTCTTAATACAAATCGAGAAGGATGCGCTCCAGGAAGATTATCTTCAAGGCAGAATGTTAGGTAATCCATATAGGAGCAGTGATGCTGGCATGGGTCCTCTGATGAGAGATATCAAGAATAAAATTTGTCGAGATTGTGAGCTGGTTGCACTGCTGGATGATGATACTGGAATGGAGGTAACAAATTTTCAACATTCGTTTCTTTTTTCTTCTTTTTTTTTTTTTTTTTTTTTTGCTTTCTTGCTTGTAAGCTATGATAGCTAGATTGTATCTTACTTTCGAAATCTTTCTTGTCCTATAGTTATATTGCTTGTTAGCACCAAAGGAATAAAAATAAGAAAAGTAGTGCTAATCCCTAAGAGTAATTATAAACAAAATTTTTATATTTTACTCCAGTCCTTTCTGAATCATATTTATCTTACCTTTTTTTCATTTCACAGCTTCTTGTGAATCAGCAGATTGTTGCCTTGGACTTACCGGTTAATGATGTTTATGAGAAACTTTGGCGTTCTGATCATCACGGTCAAGCGATGGTTATTGTGTATCGGATGCGAGGTCTTCTTGGTGATGCAACCGAACCTTTTATAAAAACACTGGCTAACACGAATGGTGGGCTTACCAATTGAGATATTTAATTTGCCAAGTAGTATGCCTCTCTAATAATCTTTTGTAAGCATACTTATAACCGAAGTGGGAAAGAAGAAAATATGTGAACTAGTAATAGAGTCCGTAACAGTTGGTTTTATATGTTTTTTTCTGTAACTTCCGGAACGTAATTCTGTGGCTTCTTGACATTTTTTATTTTATTTTTTTTTCCATTTTTATTTTTTGAAAGATTTATTTCAGTTTACTGAAAAGCAGTTTTAGTTAAAGAGAAGGTAGACGATAGTCAACTTCGCCTGGCTAGTGCGTTAGGATCTCCGATACGTGCTTTTGCAACTATTCTTCCGATATTGGACAACATTGAATTGACTGGAGGAGGCATAATTTTGTTGCGAGAATTGCATCGATTGCTGACTCACTGCATGAAAGTATAGATTTTTGGTGGTGTAAAGTTATAAATTTAGAAGCAGATTGCTTAAAAACTGGCCAGAAAAATAATTCTATTAAAAATGTTCTTCAGGTCGAAGGAAATCGTGAGCAATTGAATGAATATGGCGGTATCCGAAGGTTTTTGCATGTGTTCGAGGTGGCTTACAGAAGTGGTATTAAGGAAAAGTCAATTGAAGAAACAATAGCTTTACAGTATCTCGAACTTAGTAGGATTCTTCTAGTTGATGTTCTCGCCACTGATCGAATCGAGAAGGTGTGTTTCTTATTACTTCTTTTTTTTTGTATATAGCAATATATATATATATATATATATATATATATATATATATACTAAGTTGCAGTCTATTGGTGGCGCAAGTTTTGAACAGACGTCATGGTTATTGGAACTTTCAATGGGCAGTGATGAAGAACTTTCAGCATCATTACTGGAAGCGGTGACATCCATTGCACCAAATCTTTGCCTTGGTAATGCAGAAAGTATGGATGCTTTGGTGGAAACATTTCGGCCGTGTTGTCACTGGGATGAAATTGGTTTGTTTTCGTTTTGTTTCGTTATCATAATATTCAAGTTTCATTTTTTTTTTTTTTTTTTTTGATTAGGTAAATTGACATTGGGTCAGATACAGCGACCATCCCATCATTATTTACTACAATTTCTATGCTTCATATAGTATTATACAAATTTTCTTTAAAAGATTCGGTTGATTTGATGTTGTCAGTCCGATAAAGTATTGATGAAGTTATCAAATATATCGAATAAAGCAAGTGTTATAGATAACGACCGAAAAATTCGAGATCGAGTGGTACAGAAGGTTGAAATACTGTGCAAAATAACAAGCGCCATTCATGATAGTGCGTCCGGACGGATTCTCAAAAAGAAAATGATGGATGCTGGATTGATTACAGATGCATGCAGATATTTGGCAGAGAATCATCCTCCCATATTCAACGTTTCAGTAATGGGACCAGAGTGGAAGTATTTTTTGTCAAAACCTTCACTAAAATATGTTCTAAAACTTATGGCTGGTATGGCACGGTCTCACAAACCCTCACAGGTTCACTTTTTTTTATAACTGCGATATTATCTATTATCATAGATAAGTATTGTTGTGGTGCAGAAAAATGTCGCCATAATGTTGAAGTATCAGTCAACTTTGTTCACTGTTTTTTTTACACTGATGCTTTGAGTTTTGATTACTTCCTTGATCATAGTAATGCATAGATTCGAATCGCAGGTTAAGTTTAAGGGCTTTTTTGTGTCTTCATTTTATATGCAGTATGTCCAAAAAACAACTTGTTTGATTCGAAAACATTGCTGTTTCATTTGATTCGAAAACATTGCTGTTTCATTACATTATTTCTTTCGGACTAAGATTGTCATGAAAATAGTTTTGAAAACATTTGAGGGAAAGTTCTTTATCAAATAATTTTTGGTTTTTTTTTTTTTTTTGAGAAAATAATTTTTGGGAACAATTGATCACATATTGTTTTCCTAATAACTCAAAAAAACTTGAGGGAGAGCAAGTTGCTATATATGTGTAAGGCTTCTGTATCGAACTTTGCTCCATCCATATGGTCGGATTTCTTGTGATTGTGATGTCATTCTTCAGGAAGCAATTGCTGAAAATTCCCTGCCCATACTGCATCGTTTGGAGCAGATTTCATCAGCCGAACATATTGGAACATTGGCCGAAAATGTAATGGAAGAACTGAAGAAGAATGATCAAGTTGCTGTACAGGTACTTATCAAATTTGAAGTATCAAGAAGATTTCTTGTTCGTTTCCTTATTAGTTTTGGAATTGAATACAGTTTATCTGTATTTCACAGCTAGTTTATTATTGAAGATTGAAAAAGTTCGTCAAGAAACGAAGATAAAGAAACGTCAGTTAGCTATGGCGATGAGGCAAAAGCAGCTTTCGAAAATGGGTATGGAAATCGGCAAAAAAGGACAAGTGAAGGTAGGTTACTGTGTGTATTTTAATATAGGTTAATAACTCGACTTCTTCCTAGCGTTGTTGACAGATCCTAAAATAAGTATTTGAACCCAATAATGGTTTTAAAACCAATTTGGTAGTGTGTGTGTTTTGTTTCCATTCGTTATTGTTTATGAATAAGAAAAAAAAAAAACTGTCTCATAGAAAATAGGATTGCATAGCCATTCCTGCAAGTCGATTCTCCTGTACAGCATTTGTCATTTCTTGCTTGAAAAAAAATTGTGGTTCTCCCAGGTATCTGCGCGCAAGCTGATCAATGAACCTCATTCATTAGAAAGTGTATCAGACATTAGTATTTGTTGTATATGCCGGGAAGCAATGGACGCTAGTGCAAAAATCATGATGGTTAGCTTGCTTTGGTCTTTTTTATTTTATCCCCGCATTCATTCTTTTCCACAATTAACTTTATATTGATTTTGAATTTGTACGGAGGTATTTCCAAGACATTTCTATCGTCTTTGTTCAGTATTTGCATTTACGATATGTTTGCATCTAGACAGAACATCATTCTGAGAGACATTAGAAACATGTAATGATTAACTTTTTTACTAGCAATACATATTGCTAACAAAGAGAACAAGGTTCTATTCATCTGTTTTTTGAAACGTTGTGATTTGAATAGGAGCTGTTCCCGATTTAACATATATTGACACTGGTATTGGAAACTTACTTGAATCATTGTTTTTATTTTTTCCAAATTCAGTCATTTTTCTGTTTTCCTCTTACCGTTTTATTTTCATATCTTCTTTGCCCCATTGATTTTTCTTTTAGGTATATGCATTTGCAAGTCGACTGAATCTAAAAGAGAACAAAGTAATTAATGGTCGGAATTATTCGTTCACAACAGTGTCGCAGATGAATTTAGTTCATCTGGACTGCCATTCCGTAGCTGTCAGGTATTTTTGTGGTGTTCAAACTTTTAGTTCTTGGTACGTGGTAATAAGATTGAACTTTTCAGTAAGATATTCTTGTTATTTATCTCTATGAAAATATTTATTTTTCAACAGAATGGCCGGTTCACGAAGCGAATGGGCAAGTGCAGCGCTGCATAATGCCAATACGAAATGTAATGTTATCATGCCGATTTGGTCAAAGCAAGTAAAAGATTCGGATATGGAACACTCCTTCCAAAGGTGTTTTGAAACAGATATCATTTCGATAAATTTAAAAATTGTAGGCATCAAATGGTTTGCTAATAGGGACTCAGCAAAAAATTATTTGTGTGTGAATAATAGGGGTTAGAATATCGAGGTTGAGTGTACTGCAAATTTCTCATAAAGAAAATAGTGCGTAAGTTGGGAAAAAATGTTGTGGGATAGTTCGACCTGAACTTCATTTTCGGAGCCTCCATGAATAGTGCCTTTATAGTCCTTGAAGTATCGAAAGACATTGAACATCTTTTACAGATTTTTTTTTTTGCTTACAAAGTTTTTCCATTGTTACATTTTTTTTTTGTGCACTAAATATATGTTTGGTAAATCGAAATTTTTAGTAACTCATTTTTAGGTTATCAACTGATCTGGAAGTAGCTGTTGATTGTGATACGATAAATTTAGATAGCCTCACACTAGATATAGCAGAATTGCTGGATCGCTTTGTCAAGTTCCGTTCATTTTCGGCACTTTCTCATGGTGGTGGTCGTGAATCAAACATGCAGTATATGGCTATTTTAATTCTTCTAGTGCAGTATTTGAAAAAAGTCTCACCATCCTCCGAACCTGCTGAAGCTCATTCATTCACCCATGAGATCAGTATCAGTTTGGTAATGGATACTGCAGAGCAGTGGAATGATAAAAGATTGGATTTGTTAAAAAGTTTGCAAGGATCTAAGAAGTCTTGGAAAGATGCGAGACATGAATTGCTTGTCTGGGTTGCCGTTGATTATTATCACAATAAAATTCTTCAGGTAGTTTTGTATCAAATTTCGTGGAATAAAGCTTCAGAGGAACGAATGAATCTATTAGACTGTAAATCCTGAATTTTGTTGTCCTGGATGTGTTGCAGTAGGAATATTTCACCTATGATGAAATAAATATTGACTTCAAGAAAAAAAGAATTTTTTAAATGTTAACATCTTATTCATGTTTCAGTGCAGGACTGGTGATCGTACTCAACATATGCGTGAGAATATAATTAAAATTTTGGAGAATTGTTCCAAGTTTGTTAGTTATTTCGACTCCGAACTCTCACAGTGTAGAAGTTATGGCGAATTAATGAAAGCAGTTGGTAAGCGTTAACTTCACTTTAGATTAACTTAATATTTTATTGGATGTGGTGCTAACAGCTTATCGTAGTTTAGTTTAATAACTTCATGACTTTTACTTTATCCCTTAGCAGGCAGAATATAATGAAAGCAAAGAGGCTAAAAGATGGAACAAATACAGGTTAAGTATTCCGAATGTGACTGGAATTCCTGGTAGTTATTAATTTCTTATCACAAGTCCAGTGTCCTATGTCACCATAGTTATGGTTTGTATGGCAGATTAATGAGAGAAGAAAGACGTTATGACTTTTCTAAATTCACTATTTTCAGGTATCGATATGGGTAATGTTACCCTTGAATAAAAAATTCTTGTTGGTGTTAATGGTCTACCCCTTCCATTTTGTTCAGTAGATTAGCATTTGGTGATTGTATATTCCAAAGTTATTTACAAATCTAATTCACAGAAATAAAAATAATTGAAATAGGGAAATTACCGATCACATGAAGTCTAGAAAATATGAAACAGTTATCGTATTTAATGGCAAATTCTTTGACCTATAAACTGCCTTAAATGTGGATCTTGATTCATTGTTATACACGTATGATTGTCATCACTTTTGCTTTAAGGACATCGTATTGAGAATCCATCCAAAGTCTTTTAAAATCTTTTAATCCTTTTCTTGCTATTTTAATTTTCATCCGGCAGTATATAAATTTAATGTTTTTTAGAGTTACAAAAAGTTGGTTCTAACTAGCGTCCCGATTTTTTGGCAAGATGTGAAAGTGACTCTTTAAAAATAGCTTTGGTGAAATTCTTTAACGAAAAGAACGAATCGCAAAACTTAGCAGAAGAGACTAACATGTGAAGGGAACGTTTAATCGTTTCTTTTAAATAAACCGATGGTCTAGGTTTTTGTTTCTTGTGAACATTTATATTTTCTTGAAACACTTATACTGATTTTTCGAAATGAATCATGTGTTTGTTTTTGAAGCGCTATGAAATTTTATTGGCTATCGTTTTGTGAAAGACTGAGTTTGAGATTGTCGAGAAACAGGGATATTATAAAATTAAGATATGGAATAAAATTGTGGAAGACTTTGTTCCTTGTGTCTACACTGTTGCGCTGATGAAGGAAAAGATCGAATTGGTCGATTTTGATTATGATGATTTATCAAACCGCTGAATATCCGACAAAATTTCAGCTGTGAGTTTTAATTGAGGACTATAATGCTATGGAAAACTGACAGACGGCTAATCTCGTATGAAATTAACCCTCGCAAGGATATAGTTTTAATGATTAATTCACCCTAGAACTTATACGATGTCGCCACAATAGCGAAGCTAGAACCTAATGAACAAAGGCGATTTTAATCCACTTTGTAACCTTAAGATCCATAAAATCCCTCCCAATTTTCTTCCTTACAAAGCTATTCATTATAGTTTCTGGTTTGGTATGACTCGGTTGGGAGATGTCTAGCTTGCTTATATCCTTAAATGTTTTATAATTAAGTTATATTTGTGTGTTATGTATCAATTCGTTATTGTAATGTTGTGTAATATTTACTGCTAATCTAAGGGTTAATTACCCAAGTTTGAGGTTTGAATAATAAAGTATTTCACGAAGACTCCCACAGTATACGTACACAGAACGGAACCAGTACAAAACTCGAGATTCTACTAGTATCGAGGACAAAGAAGTCAATGATTTGAACCATCAAGAAAGGAGACCTACTTTGTTTCACAAGGAAACAGGGCAGTAAGAAAGAAATCCTAAATTTGCTTCTACATGCGATCTCTCCTCTAATTCGCCCTATTCTTCCGGCCTTTCATCAACCAGCACTCTGTTCAACTAGTTATTGCCGAGATTACATGTTTTCATAGTGGTCAAAGACCCTATTAGCGTGGGAAGAGTTCTAGTTTGAATTTTTCAACTTGATAATTGGGAAGGATTTTCTAGGTTATGTATGCATGCTGCATGTTTTCCCGTAATTTATGAGCTGGGGAGGGTAATTATGTTTATGAATTGAGCGCATTCCATTCCACAAAAAGATTCGGATGCTTGACAATGATGACGTTGACATTATTTTTAAACAATAATTGGAGCAATGTCATCATCCGACGAAGAAATAGTCGTGCGGAATCCGTATACTGCAACTGCGAGTAATGGACGACGTAGCAGTCATAGATCACATGTATCACGTGAGCAGGAGTCAAAAAGTCGTGCGTTGGAAGAAATGAAACGAGCACGTGATGCTGGTACCGTGCATCGAGTAAATGTACGTTTCCGTTTCTAGAATCTGCAGTTCCTTTCAATCCTAACAGTTAGATTCTGCAGAGGTTAAAGGTATCATTACTTCTTTATTTTAGGTAGCGAATTTGGTAAAGCCTGTGTATGAAGAAGTGGATGAGGATGAATATGTTAGAATTGTGCAAGAACGGCAGAAGGATGATTTTGTTGTTGATGATGGTCCTTTTTTCATTGAAGCTTTTTTTATTTTAATTTCGGTGTTACGAAGTAAGAAAAATTTTAATTTGTACTTGATCTTTTTCATTTTTATATTTCCTTTCGCGTGATGGTGCCTATGATGATGAGAAAGTTTCTTTCTTTTTTTTTTTTTTTTTAGTTGAAACAGATCTTTAAGAAATCCAAGACTTCTTGATAGTTTTCTTTTCAGATGGTAGTGGCTATGTTGATCATGGTTTCGATTTCTTTGACGAAGAACAATGCACTGCAACAAGAAAAACAATGAAAGCAAAGGAAAGAAGAGGTGGTGAGCTATCAAATATCTTTAATTTCTCGATAAAGTTCAAGATAATTACGATAACTTCTAGCAAGCAGATTATTTTTCTTATTAACGTGCTATATTTTCGTTGCAATTGGTATTTGTTGAAATTATTGCTTTTATAAAATTGTATTTCTTTAAAATCATGATGAGGAATCGGGTTTATTACTTATGGATTTCTTTCAGAGAAAGTGAAAAGGAAGGGGATTGGTAACTTTTTTCATGCTTTAAACATAAAAAAGATGAAAGAAGAGGTTTGTTTTGTGCTGTTTTTCGATTTTATTGCTGATAAAGTGGAGAGTTTCGAAAGAGAAAAGGAAAGGAAATTTCGTTTTTATTAGCAGAGCGTTCAACTTGCTGCCTTTGTTTACTTTATAAAAGTATATAAAATAGATATAAAACCTGCTGATATAAAACCATATGTTAATAGTTTTATTAATATTGCAGAATACAGTAACTGTAACTGATGACCCGGATGTAGAAGCATTGCTTAATGAATGCGATTTGTCAGACTTTTTGAAGAAAAGTGCAAATGAAAAAGTGGATGGTTCAAAAACCGACAATGTTTCATTGATTAGGTTTGCATTTGCATATATCAGAGAATTACGTAGTTCATGATTCTTCTACATTAAACATTGGGGTCTTGCAGTCCTCAAATATTTTGATCATTTTGAAATCAAAAGTAATTGTTGCTCTTTTACTCTTGATTGTTTTCGGTCTTAAAATTCAACTCTAGTTCAGGTAAGAGACGTCGAATGATGGGTATTCTGATTTGATATGTTGCTTTCTATTTATCCACTTTGTTTTCGTGCAGCCGTTTTTTTTAGTCCAAATTTTTGAAGGGCTTAAAAAACCAATTTTGCAGAAATCACTGTTTTGATTCAAAAATAACAGCAAACTCGATCAAAGCTCACCAAATGGTAAAACTCAATGAACGCAGGGAACATTTGAATGTGACTGCATCGCATTCTCCCTCTCCGATAAGTAATGTAGGAAAGTCAACGAATTTGGAATCTATATCTGAAAAAGAAGTTAGAAAGGTATTTAGCAAAGAATCGTCAAAAGAGCAAGTCAAAGAATAAATTGCAGTAGGTAGTGCTAAAAAGAGACAAATAAGTCTTTTTCAACAAAAAGAAATCAAAAACTGAGAATTCTCAGAACATTTGAGTACTATACTAGCAGTTTTTCTGATTGTCAGTTTCGAAAATCTTCTTAGTGTTTGGAGCATTTGGTCCATTGATTTAGTTTCCTTTAGTTGAAATGATTGGAAAGCGAACTTTTATTAAGTAAAAATTCTTCATTTAATTTGGAATTCTGTTTAACTATTAGATATGAACTGGAAAAATATCATCTAAACATAAAATTGTGATGAAAAGTCATTTTCTGGATGCGCAAAAATCTGATATTTTTGTGGAAGTGCATTCTGTGACCAATAAACATTCCGATAAATGCCTCGTGAAAGAAGTGGTACAGCCAGAAACATCTTTCATTTGGGCTGACAGGTATATTACAAACTTATTCGTGGATGGAAAGACTTGGGTTGATGATACAAATGATACACTTCCACCCTAAACTTTTTTTAAGTGTGCTAAATCTATTATGATGTTTAGCGAATCCAGGAATCAGATGCTAAATGAGCAACCTATGAAAGAGAGTGTTGTTGCTACGTTTGGTTCTTTTATGCATACAAATTTAGAAGGCGAACTAGTACTGCGATTTTACTGGCTTGACGCTTTCGAAGATCCTATTAAGATGCCAGGTCTGCTGTGTTTGTTTTCCTACTTCGTAAGTTAGCACATGATAATCGGATATTTTCCAATAACTCCTTCAGTGCAGTAGTCAAAAATAAAATTATGCATTTATTGAATTGCTTAAACAGTGTTCTCTGTGGAGATAGTTTTAGTATAAATAATATGCAGGTCCAAAAAATTACTTTTTTTTCAGTTTATTACTTTTATTTTTGCCTTTTTTCCTGCTCTTCGGTGTTTATTTGTGAATCAGTAGAATTTCTCACTATCATTTTGAATGAAGTTTTCCTCAATGCTCATATCTTAGTTCCTTTAAACATTTTTTTCTTTATAGGAACGGTTTATCTTTTTGGTCGATTGATGAACGGTAGTATTTCCGAAAGCTGCTGTGTGGTTGTTAAAAATATATGGCGACAAGTTTTTTTTTTACCTCGTGAGAAGGTTAGAACGATTCTTTCTATGCTCTCAGTAAGTGATGATTGATTCGCAATAATATTTACACAACTGTATCTTTTGAATGCTTTATGTATCAGTTTCATATGTCGTATTTAAATCACTTACTTTAATTATTTGCGAATTGGCTTATCTCTTTTGTAGATTTCTCTGATTTTTTTTTCTTGCATTTTAGCATTTAGTAAACGAAGTACAAACTGATGAAGTGGATTTAATGCAAGTTAATGAAGAAGTACAGAAAATACTCAGGTCGATGGGTGTTAAAGTTGTCAAATGCAGAGTTAGTCTTCTTAATTTTATTTTGTAATTCATATTTCAGATTTTTCATAAGGCAAACGAAAATAGTTATGTTAATGCAACCGTTGCTGCTTCCATAA